CATCATACAAATATGCCAACAAGGGTACTGGTCCGTTAGGTCTGCATCAATTGACACAGTAATTTGTGTCTCCAGACTCCAGCAAAGAACACACTATACTGTCCTTAGTTATATCTCTACATTACAATTAGTATGTGTGATCAGTGAGTGATACTTACAGTCTGTTAGGTTTTTATAAAGCTGTGGATTGGTGATAACCCTTGTAATAATACTATGCATAGCACCTCCCATCTTACACAAATCATGCAGTAACCCTAACAATCCTTCTGCTTCTTGTATGGCACCTACATACGCCTCTGAAGAAAACATGACACATAAAAACTATAAGCATATATATATACCAATACATTAAATTTTTAAATATAGGGCTTTACCTCCTTCACAATGATTTGTTTTATGCTTTAATGCGATATTCAATTGAAAAATGATGAGATTATGCGGTGTTATACATTTTTAAAAGAGTATGTATTCTAAAAGTTTGACTGTTAATTAAACTATTTTACATTTTTCAGTTTGATAAAAAGTGATATGATCGGCATGGCTGGGTTAACAGAAGCATACCATTGTATTTCATTTGGCTCAAGTCCAACAACTACGCTAAGCAAAGTAAAGTATGCGCAAGTCTTGTACCTGGCTTGTGATTATCCCTAAGATGCTGAATAAACCTAAGAATGATCCGTGGTAAGATATTTTCTGCCATGATGAGGAGATCATTTGGAACGGCAACTTTTCTTGATGGCTCATTTTGTCCATGTTGGGGGCAAAACCTGGAACACAATAACATAATGAATATTTACTTTAATAAAACTTTATAATACTAACATTAAAAACTTTACATAGATACAATATCAATAACTATTAATAATAATAAATATCAGTTTTTAAATTAATTTTAAGAAATTCTGTCGGGACTGTAATGTTTGACAATGTTCCCTGACAAAGATTGTTTCTAATGTCCAGCATTTCTGTGCATTCAAATGATGTTAAAATTGAAATCACTAATCTGTCAGTCAAAACTTTTTTTTTCATTCTCTGGATTAGAAAATAATTAAAAGGTTAATACATGGAACAATTTATTGGTCAGTTTTTGTTACTGTCACTGCCACTGCCACATTGTTTCAGACACCAAAACAGCAACATCTTCAGCTAAGTTTTTAACTGATTTCTCATATGTATACACATTTCAAGATGGGTTTAGAGGGGGGGCAAGGGTTATTTTCGTTCAACGTAATTGCAATATTTTTTTGTTCGTACAACGTAAATTAAAAAAATAAATTCCGTAATTCTGTAATCACAGGCTAGACGTACAACGTAATCAATCAAATATTTTTTTCGTACGCTGTAAAAATGTGTCATTTTTCTCGGTACGTACAAGAATTTACATCCAAATAAAAAAATCGTAAAAAATAATCCAGGAAATTACATTTTAGAAACTGTAAAACGACTAGATGACACAATTCACTGCAAAATTGAATGTCAAGACGTAAAAGGCCCTCTAACGGAATGAAGAGCATTACGAGGGCAATATACGCATGGGTCTCTACACACGGCACAGCAATGGCGGAGAATTTGAGTCGGAGAGCTCCTCGGACCATTCAATGTTCCATTTTTTATCACTGTAAACTGTAAAAACGCCTTTTTTTTTTTTGTAAATTGTAAAAAGCCCTTTTCATTCCCCGTAAAACTGTACCAGCTACCCCCCTTGCCCCCCTTTGGTTTACCATTCGGCTAATGACCTGAAATGAGAGACACCGACAGTATATACACACACTTTTTTAAAAATAAATTACAGTTTTTTATTCGTCATATACAACTTTTATACAATCAATGGATGAACTAGATTGGATGGGGAATAATGCATATTTAATGTGTCCCTCATTATTAGTTTTAAAACTACTGTTAGGGGGGACTTTTTAAGCAAATTGTCTGCAATTAGTCTCTCAATATAACCATAGACCTTAGGTCTATGATATAACTTTCCTCCCCAATACACACGTACATGGCATTGCACCCGTCGTCATGGAGAACCAATTTATTTTGATGACATCTAATATTTAGATCAATGTGTTTTCAATTTAAAAGCCGCCAAAACTAAACTAGAACACACACTTATAATCACGGTGTTGAAACTGAGAGTTTGGTACGAGTAAACATTCAGTTTTTAATTATATCAATTCAAGCGCAAATGACAGAGTTTTAAAATAGTTTATGTTATTATAGCTGTACATACCCAGCCTCTTTCATAACACTGATGTCGCCGCAGTCACACGCCCCTCCGGCCTGGCTTCGGAACATATTAAAATCATGGCCTGTGTGATCACCTCCTTGAAAACAATCTGCACACAGTGACATACATGGTGAAATGCCACAAGTCCTACACCGATAAGCCACAAAATTAGCCGTCCAAACAAGACCACAGGCCGTGGCATTGTCATACATGCGAACTGTTTTCGCGAATGTGTCGAACGGTCCTCCACCTGCAATCAGACTTCGACACCAGTCTAAAGTGTCCCAGTTATCTAAAGGTTTCCGAGGATCCAAAAGATGGTCTAACAGTTCCGTTAGTTGTTGTTGTCCACGCGAATGATTTACATGCGCCTTTATATAGCTCGGTGCCCCCAGTTTGCCAAGACGTAACAGCTCCGCCATATTGGATACTGTAATGCTGCAAGGAATGCTGGGAAAATGACAGAGCTAATGTGCCCTTTATTTCTTTTTTACACAGGTTATCCAATTCGTGACACCTGACGGCCTTTCATTTTTCTTGTGTGTATCAAATAAACAAGATGGAATAATGGCAAAACGTCATGTTTAATCTTTGAAATTTACACTTAGACTATGAAAAATATCCATATTTAATGTTTCAAGTAATAAAGCCACAACGGTTTTATTCCATTTTAAATTACCCCTACATCTGCCCTACATAGTGTGGCTATTCATTATTTTATTCTCATTATCACAGTTAAACTTTCAAAATACGAGCTTAACCTGTTTTCAAGATAAACAAAAAACCCAACCTGCGAGATTTGATACATGACATGTCATGGAAATATTCTCGGCGAGGGAACCGGAAAGAGACTCAAGACTACAACTGAAAACTGAAAAAGTCTAATTGGTTAAACGATTGATTTGGAGTCATCTACATTGGGTGAACAGTTTAATAGTAAATATCACGGCGTTTTCTATTGGCTGGAAGTTGAAATATGTCTACATGACACAGGACGAAACAGCGCATAGAACAGTACAGAGCTCGCCCGGAATAGTCACGGTGGTTGGGGGTTGGTGCGTGCAGTATGTCGGTTACGTTCGTAAATAAATAATACATGGCCGTATTATATACCACAGCTAATGTAATTTTCTATAACGTATTTTGTATTTCTATTCGACAAATGCGCATTTGAAAATACAGGTAAAATTCAATTTCCGTTGTCGTTTTCAATATTGAGAAATGATTTTTTGGCATAATCTTATTTACTTTATGTGCAATGTATTTTATAAATGAATGGCCGCCAGGTGTCACGGATTTTATCCATCGTGTACTCAGACGACTTATTTTATTGACTTGAGGCTAAACTCAAAACTACTTGAACAGTTATTTTTGTAAACGTCTGGTATCTACGAACTTTTTCTTCAAAACTGTGTATTTAATGATTTACTATCATGATGCAGAGTACCTCATATGTTTTTTCTCTGATTTGTTCATTTAATACATTTTTAATATTTCATGATTTGTATTATAAAAAGATCACATCACATTTCAAAATTTCGTTCGGTTACAAATCTTAAAAAATCCTACATATTTATAACATGTGCAGACCAGTGTAATGATGTAACAGGTCACTCAGGTTCCATGCATTCTTTGCATGCCACTGCGGTATGTGAAAAGCGCCCTCAAGGAACCGCTAAAAATGTCCATCCCGGCCTTAGACTATGCACAGATTCTTTATCACTGTAAACTACATACAGTATACATTGTACTAAGAAAATGTCATTTTCTGCTTTTTCTTTAATAACACCAGCTGTATGACTTTCACACAAATACCAGAAAATAACTTTAGGTAAACCTCTGTCAGATTTTTTTTTTTATTTATTATTTATTAATCAAAAATTGCCAAACGACAAAAATGGGTTTTAAGTAAAAAATGTAACCGTTTTAAGTTTGCCAAAGCAATTTTGATTTCGATTTTGTTTTCAAATGTATTACTTATCAAATAGGGAAGTAACGTTCATGACGTATAAATAAACTTGAAACTTATCATGAAAAAAAAATCCCAACTATGTCCCTCCCACAATGTAGCTCACCCTCTTGAAATGGTATGACCTAAAATCGAATTTCGTGTTCCCGTGCACAGAATAATGGGCAGATTAACTGTCAAAATTGCTGGTTTACAGACCCGTACATAATGGGCAGATTAACTGTCAATATTGCTGGTTTACAGACCTGTACATAATGGGCAGATTAACTGTCAATATTGCTGGTATAGAGACCCGTACATAATGGGCAGATTAACTGTCAAAATTGCTGGTTTACAGA